GAAGATCGAAAGTTCACAGGAAGCTTACGCAGGGGTGGTATGATGAAAGAGCAAGCCATGAACTGAGTCCCACCCAGTCCTACCATGTGCCCTGCTGGATATGTGAAGGACGCACAGAAAGCTGCTGGAGAACACACCGAACTCGCTTCCAGGGCACGAGGAGGGAGGCGGATTCTAACGACCCGCAATGTAATTTTTTCATTTTTTTTTTTAATCAAAGTGAAAGTCACAGAACATAAGATGTGCCATTTTAAGGTGCGCAGAGCCGTGGCATTTAGTAGATTCGCAGTGCTCCAGGTTGTAGCACGCTATCAGCACTTCATTCCTTTCTATGCCCGGATAATAGTGCATTGTACGTGTGCACACACTGCATTTTGTTTATCCATTTACCTGCTGATGGACATTTGGGTTATTTCCACCTTTGGGCTATTGTGAACACTGCTACTGTGAACATTCCTGTGCAAGTATCTGAGAACCTGTTTTCAATCATTTTGGGTATATACCCACAGGAATCGCTGGGTCAAATGGCTGAACTTTCTAAAGACCCTCCAAATGTTTCCCATGGCAGCTGCACCACCTGACATCCCCACCAGCAACACGTGAGGGTCCAAATTTCTCCACATCTTCATCAACACTTGTAATCTTCCCTCCCCCCTGCCCAATTATAGCCGTCCTAGTGGGTGTGAAGTAGTATCTCAATGTGGTTTTGATTTGCATTTTCCTACTGACTAACGGTGTTAGGTATCTTCTCTTATGCTTTTGACCACTCGTATATCTCCTTTGGAAGAACATCTATTCAAGTCCTTTGCCCATATTTTAATTGGGCTGTTTATCCTTTTGTGGTTGAGTTGTAAGAATTCTTTGTATATTCTGGACACTAGACTCTTACAAGATACACGATTTGCAAATTTTTTCTCCCATTCTGTAGGTTGTCTTTTTAGTAAACTGATACTCTTTCTTCTGTGTTCTTGAGTGTGAGGCACTTGCCAATGATGAATCAGACGGCGGGAGGACGTGAAAACAGTTAAAAGGTCTCCTCATTCTTGGAACTAAAATTTCCTTTTAATGTTAGGTTGGGGTGAGGTCACATGAGTTCCTCAGTTTTGACAGAGATGAGGAATTTCGATTACCCAGGAACCCCTGCGGGGGGACTTGGAAACAGAGTCAGCAGACCAAGAAAAGAATTTTAGGGAAGAAAGGGGTAGGAACGCAAGCCAAATAATGCTAGAAAACAAGAAGTCATAGTGTAGACCCCAAACTTCGCTGCACGCTGGAATCACACGAGGATCTTTAAAAAAAATACCGAGAACTGGTTTCCATCTGCAGCTATTCTGATTTCATTGGCATGGGTAAGACTTGAGCAACAGAGTTATAAAAGCTCCCTGGGGGATTATAATGTGCAGCAAAGTGGGAACCACCGCGCTCAGTGATGGAGCTGTGTCCAACAGCAAGGATGAAGGCTGACACTCAGGGGCCTGGGGAAGGGGCGATCCCACAAGCCCAAGAAGCCACGGTGGAACCACGTTAATTGGAGAAGCTCTTTTTTGACACCAAAATATCCTGAATGATCACGTTGCCTGCTCCGTAGGGATGGCCTGTTGGTGCTTCTCCACCTCCAGTTTCCATGTTGATGAGCAAAAGCTGGAGATGGGAAGAGGTTATTTCTACCATCTGTGTGGGAAATTCTACGTTGGCCTGGATGTGATCATACAAACATGGTGGAAAAGAGGAATAATACACATTTTAATAAGGATCCAAAGTCAGAGTATTCTAAAGTCCCCATGAAATGAAGGAGCAATCTTGTTTGTTTCTGTAGGTTGAGATCCTGACATAGCTGATGTCCCTAAATTCCACTGGAAAGTCTAAAGTGATGGTTCCCCACCTGAACTAAGCATCAGAATCACCTGAGGTGTTTAAAAAAAAATACAGCTGTCCGAAACCTATAGGGACAGAGGGTGAATGCGTGGTTGCCTGGGGCTGGGGTGGGAACAGGAAATGACTGAGAGATGGGTACAAGGATCTCTCTGGGGTGACACAAATGCTCTAACATTGGATTGTGATGATGGCTGCACAACTGCAAATGTACTAAAAGTCATCGAATTGTACACTTAAAATGGGTAAATTTTATGGTATGTAAATTAAACCTCAATAAAACTTTGTTTAAAAGCAAGGAACAGCCGTGCACAGTGGCTCACGCCTGTCATCCCAGCACTGTGGGAGGCTGAGGGAGGAGGATGACTCAAGACGAGGAGTTCAAGACCAGCCTGGGCAATATAGTGAGACCCCGTCTCTACTAGAAGTAAAAGTAAAAAAAAAAAAAAAAGGAATATAAAAGATAAACCATGAAAGTCATATAACTGTACCTGGTTAGTGGTAGGAAAAGGTAGATTATATTGTTTTTAGTCTTTCTTCTTATTTTTATATTTAACGAGGGAAAGACTTGGGATTTGAACCCACCCCTCAGTAGTTTACAATCTTCTATTTAGTGAGAAAGTGGGCAGCGCAAGTTCCAAAGGCGTGAACTTGGAGTCAGACAGGTCTATGCTTAAATTCTGTTTCTATCAATACGTAAATATGAGACCTTGTCCATGTTACTGAACCTCTGTAAACCTGAGCTTCTTCATACACAAAATGGGGGTTTAAAAATATATGACCTGCAAGAGGTGTAATAAAGATTGAATGAGATCATACTACATGCAAAGAGCTTCATCTAATATCCAGCACACAGAAGTAATCCTTATCTAGAGTTGTTATCTCTAAAGATGAAAATGGGTCTCGAGTGGTCAGAGGTTTGCTTACACAAATTCCAGAACTGTGATGTCTTAACTGCAGCCAGATCTGTCTGAGGAATGTACTGGCTTGGGCCACGTCCACGCAAGGACAGCTCATGTTCTGGTGCAAGCCCAATTCTAGCTTGATCTCTACCCTAGATTTCTTCTGGAGACATGCAGTGATGTCCAGACAAAATCACAACACCCCATGCTCCGCACTGCTGGACGACCACGCCGCAGGAACAGTAACAGCTGGGCTCTGAACTATGGGAATGGGGGCGGCAGGAAGGGAATTGGCCCACTGCACCTGCCTCTGGGAGATGCTTGTGAAATCTCCATGTTCTGGACAGCGAAGTTTGTGCTTTGGTATACAGAGCTAGGAAAACAGTTTTCTTAAAAATAAACAGATCCCAAGAGATCAATGGTCTGGAAAAATTCCTCTGAGATATTAGCGGGTTCTGAATATAAACAGTAAACAACTTTTTGGCTAACAACCGTAATTCATGCGCCCTCCAAACCCAACACACACACACACACACACACACACACACACACACACACACACCACAACACGTACACTTCTCTGAAGGGTCACAGTGGCTCTGAAAAGTAGGCAAGCGCACATTTCGTTACTGTGCATGACCACCCTCAGCATCCTCTCCTGCCACGTTTACTGAACACCGCGCTTCTCCCCAGACACGCGTCACAGACGCTCTGCCTCCTTCCTCCTGAAAGAAAACTTTCCTACGAAAATTTCCTGCTAAATTATGATTAGAGAGAAATAAAATTTTAAAATATCCTTTGTTATTTGTATGCGTGTGTTTTCTTTTCTTCCTAATCTGAAGACACTCAATTTGCCACTGACTGTTTAAAAGGCACCATGTTAAATACCAAGTGGACAAAGTTAATCAGACACACATCTGCCTTCAAAGGCACTTATGCTCTTACCAGGGAAATGAGATCTGCTTTAAAAAAATATATAAGCTGATGACAATAATGATAGCAGGTGGTGGCTCATGCCTTTAATCCCAGCACTTTGGAAGGCCCAGGCAGGGGGATCGCTTGAGGCCAGGAGCTCAAGACCAGCCTGGGCAACATAGCAAGACCCCATCATTATAAAAGATTTTTTTAAAAAAATTAGCTAGGTGTGGTGGCGTGTACCTGCAGTCCTAGCTACTCAGGAAGCTGAGGCAGGAGGATCACTTGAGCCCAGGAGCTCAAGGTTGCAGTGAGCTATGATCACACCACTGCACTCCCGCCTGGGTGGCAGAGTGAGACCCCCAACTCTAAAAGCATAATAATAACGATAACAATTATTAAACTCTTACAATGACCCTAGGAGGTAGTTATTATCCCTGTTTTCCAGATGTGGAGGCTGAGTCTTACAGGCTTGCAGTAATTTTTTTTCAAGGTTATAGTTAATAACTGAACTAAAACCCATTAACCCTATGACTGCCACCTACACAACGTAAGAACAGCGTCTTTCATCTCATGCCATTTCTAAATCCCAGAGACCTTGACGATACTTTTGCCTTTTCCATTAGATCTTGATAAAGAACGACAAGCTCAGTGTTTGGAGTCAACACATAATCAACAACCAGCATCTCCCTTTGAGGGTGACAACTTCTCCCATACAAGGTCACTAACTCAACTGTGCTTTAGAAAGGATATAACATATTGCTGAACGTTTAAAAACAGATTTTTAGAAAATGGCCCCATATTCCCACACCCCTAATATAAAATGACTATTTTTATAACTTTCTAGTTTTTTTTTCACTTCTCATTTAACAAAGTTGACATATTTAATATTACAGCATATGTACAATTTCATCTTTTTCTCCCTGTCACATGCTGAATTGTCTTATAACTGTAATTTACTAATCTCCCCCTTATCATCGAATGTTTAGGCTGATGGAGTGTCTTTGCTACTACGAATATTATCAAACAGGTTCGTACATATAACATATCCAATATTTTAGGTATTTTACCTAAGATAGATTCCCAGACGTGGTATGACTGTGTCAATAATTAAACAGTTGAAAATCTATTAGAGCCTGGCACTTTAAAAAAATAATAATAATAAAGTGCAAGGCATGTCTTTGCTTGGTTGCTGCCTTCCCAACTCCATGCGTCTATTGAGGGGGTGCCCTCCTTCCCAGATGTCCCTGGAGCCACGGCCCAGCTCTGCGTCCTCACGGAGGCCCCGCGAGATCCGGCACCGGCACTCACCTTCCCCTCGCCCGCTGCCCTTCTGCCGGCTGTTGTGCAGGGGCAGCACCTGCAACGATGCGATGCCGGACGGTTCCAGAATGTTCACCTCCACCGACAGCCTCCCGGCCAGCTGCTGGGGCCGCACGCTGACCACGTGCTCGTATTTCCCAAGGCGCCTCTGCAGAAGCTCTTCGTAACTCAGGAAGAAGGCGGCTTTGTCCTTGCTGGGAATCACCGAAGAGGCTCTGAACACCTCAGTCCCCTTCTCCCTGTCAGGAAGAACAAAGGGGCCCCAGGGAGGGTTCAGAGCAGGACAGAGCCAGGCTCCCTCCGTCCCCCGCAGGGCACTGGCCACACTCTCTCCACCGGCTTCCAGGGAGACCAGTGGGCACAGCGGGGAGTCGTGGGAAAGGAAACGTAAAAATCAGTCCTGGAAGAAGTAAAGACCCACACTAGAGGAAGGTCGCCAAGGGTCGGAGGACACCGAGTAGGAAAGACTTCAAAGACAACTGACCTCTCCATCTCTCCCCGGCACAGGCCGAGGGGACAATCCGAAGACGGGACGCTTAAGGCCGTGAACCACTAGAAGACAGAGCCTTGCAGTCAGGGTGTGAACTGCGTCCTCCCCTTTACAGGGGTGGCCAAATGAATGCTGACACTTTACGTAACTTTAAAATAGCCAGTACGTTAGGTCTGTACACCTGGTAAAGTTTGGTGGGTGTGTTTAGGAGGAAAGGTAAGGAATAAACGACTACAAAGCTTATAAAAAGGCAAACTATTCTGAACGCTTTCACCATATTCGCCAGAGGAATAAGCATGAGGGGTAACTGTTAGTGGGTAAGACAATCCCAAAGGTTTCGAGAAAACTTGGGGGGATTCGGTAGAGCAAGAACTCTACAGCTCGGAACGTGCAGGAAGGGGCTGCAGCAAAGAACAGAGCCAACTGTCTACTCTGAATCCAGTAGGACATCACCAGCTGGAAGTGACAAAGGGACCAAGTACAGGGAAGATAATCCCAAGTCCCTATACGAATGAAGGACTAAGACAACAGGCTTCCTACACTCCTCTTTCCCAGAGACACAAGTATTGAGACGGAAAAGTTTCATTGAGCGCTGGACAGAATGAATGAAAAAAGGCTGATGCCTAAACCCATTATTGTAAAACTTCAGAACATCAGATAGAGAAAACATATAAAAGGAATATTAGACCACATGAGATGCCCCATCAATAAGACTGGATGTTATAAGACATTGGAGCAATGCCTCAATGTCAATTCTCCAGAAGGAGAATTATTTTGACTTTACATTTCATACAGACAACCAAAATACTAATCAAGGACTCAGAATGTTTACCTCTCATGCATCCATTCTGAGAAAGTTACTTCAGTATACACTTCAGCCAAGCAAAGGTGAAAACCAAGAAAGAGGAAAATGTGGACTATAGAAATAACAAAACCAACCCAGAAGAAAATGAAAAGAAACCCCCAGTTTTGCAACAAGGCTGCAAAGCAATGATGATATTTCATGGATCTGGAGACAACCATGTTTTAACAGCATGTTTTAATAGCTCTAAAATCAGAATGTCTTCCCAACAGTGATGTCTTTCAATATCAGGTGTGATACAGAGGTCATTGCTCGCAGAAACTTGGTCATAATTGTTTGTCTTGTCATCATTTCAAATGAGTTATATGTCTTGCTAAATGTTAATAGTGACAAAATTAAAATTTATCTCATGAGAAAGAAGAAAGGCAATGAGAAACTCTTAAGAAAAACAGAAAATTAGAAGGCATGATCTAACTAAACTAAACCATGGCATGATTCTGAATAATTGTGATAAAGACTGCTTGAGACACACCCGTAGTCCAACAAAGTTAGGTTTTAATAACTTGCTGTAGCAAGGGAGACCACATACCGGAGGCACCATGAGGCATCTCACCAAACAAAGGAAGAGACAGGGTTATTGTAGGATTGGGAGAAGAGTGGAGTGGAGGTAAAAGTTAAAGGAAACAGTATTTGGACAGGCTCAAAGCAAAGCATGGCTGTGTTTAAAGCTGTTAATATCAGCTAGACTGAGAAGCAGACCCAAGGTTATGTGTCCTTAGTAAATACAACATTAAGATAAATGTGGAATTCTGTGTCTGAAATCCCCTTATCTGAAGCTCGGGACCTAGGTTGGTTTTCTGCAGCAAAGGGAACCCTTGGCTCAAGCCTTCCAGACAAAAGTGAGATGTCCAAGAGCAAAGTTTCTGACAGTTTAAGATTTTAGAGAACTAGCTTTCTTAAAGCTATGTCCTTTTATTAATCAGGTGTACAGGTTCCCACCATTTTGTCTGGATTCAAAGATCACGTTTCTGCAAAGGTTATGGAGGCCTTCATGTCAGGCTAATAGCGAGGGAAATGCAATCTTCGTGCACTGCATGGCTCTGCAGTTAATGTTGTTTACACAGCCCTTAAAAAGCAAATGCTATTTATTGCTTGTCAATGTTTAGATTCAGTTTAGAGACAAAACAGAGAATACAAGTATTGTTACAGGTCAGAATTTAAATGTTAGTAACTTTGATAATACCAAATAAATGATTAG